TAATGCTCAGTTATAAATTCCAATCAAATTTTGTGAGAAATTGAAAACATAAATTTAAAACATGAGTGAGAGTATTATCATTAGGCTATATCATTCAACAATACTGTACACCCAACAAAAACATCTTTTACTGGATGAAGTTAAAACTATACAAAAGAGTACCATGAATAAATTGATGAATAAATAGGGCTAAATGAAATAAATAAACAAAGTGATCATGAATATTAATGAGTAATAATGAAATAATGTATGATAATGAATCAAAAATCAAATTAAGAGATTACATAAAATAGAACAAATTGCATTTAAACCCAGGGAAATTTACCAACTTATAAGTGATAGTTTAAAGGGTTTACTTTGTAGCTCAGAAGTGTCCTCTGCTAAGCCGGATCTCACTAAGTCCTTCAAGTAATCCCAGAGCTTCATTGTGGTGTACTCGGCGAAGCATCAACAGTTGATAGTTTTAAGGATGTGAAAGTCGTAATACAGTATTACATATAACAATTTTATCATGAGATGGTTGTTTGTGTATACAGATGTCTTAAATTGACGATAGTTATCTTTGCTTGCAAAAGACCTGTACTTTTTACTTTAAAGGTCGACTCATAGCTCTGGGTAGGTTCCGAGTGCCAAGAACGATAGCGTTGCCAAAATCATTGATGGTCGGTGAGCTATGAGAGAACTACTGTGCTCTAAAAACATACCAGCTGCTACACATTAAATGGAGCTAGGTGTTATAATTAATTAAATTATACCTTTAGCAATATCGAAGTTCTTCTGAACATATGTATTATTTTTGGCATTCAGGGGCACTCCCACAGTGCTAAAGGCATACAGAATTGAAAAACCTTCAGTCGTAGCTACTGAACATAGTCAATCATTTACAAAAAAATGTTACACACAATCTATGCATACAGTAGAAAAGAGATGATAGTAATTGAAATAACAATTTCAAACAAAAAGGCTGAAAATTGTATTAGTATACATTAAATCTGTTAGAATTCTCATATCAAAACTGTCATAAATATTATGTAGAATGCTGTAGGCTACACTGTGGCATGTCAAGATAACATCTGAACATGCAATTAGGCAAAGAAAAGGCGTTGAAACTGTTTCGTGACGAAATACACCCTCAAAGGTTCCGACGTAATTTTTCAAATTGAACCCGATTGTAATCTCATAAATGGTTAGAGTGGCTGATTTTCTTCCACCACTTTGTTTCTTTGATATTTTTCATTATAAGGAATTTTGTATGATAATAGTACGTAATTTAATATGATTAAATTATATTTTAAAATAACAAACGACGTTTCAATTTTTGATCTCATGAAAACCTAAGGCTAAATCGTTTTCTAAACCTTAAGGCTAAACCTAAATCTTTTCTAGAAAAATTCTTTTTGAAATTTGTTACGTATAGAAATAATCTTCGGTGTGTTTTATGTACGGTGACCATTTGATTGGATACTCTGAGGCAGGGATCGCTGTTCAGTAATATGACCGTAATAAGCTTATTGCAAGCCGATTGTAGCTGAGCCAATGAGGTAGCGACTCATTGTCAATTGTTTACGAATCTCTGTGTATTTTATATGAGAGATCGTTGACCTGTTAATACATTCTAGTAACGAATCAATCTAGCTATTCACATATTTAGGGTGACACATTGAATTGTAAAAGAAATTGAATGATTGTAAAAACTATGTCAGTATACCCACGTTCTTCCTATCCACCTTTTTACTTACCATCTAAAATGGTTGCTTCAAGTAAATTGCCATAGATTTTTGATTGTAATAATCGTTATATATTGATCTGTTTATGCACGAAGATAACCTAAATAATTTAAAGTGAACATTTCTTTGAATTACAGTACTAATGCTGTACTGCATCAATGAATATGCAATAATATTATTGACAACACTAGGAATTGAGAAAAAAATGCATTGAGTATAGTTAATATAGGAGACAAAATACCAATGAAGCCTCTAGACTATTTCTGAATTGAAACGAAAATATATTTTCCATCATAAGCTATATAACCCTACCTATTTCATGCTATACTGATTGATATAGTATAATACAACACGTAATTATACAGTATAATTGCAACAAGTAATTATATACAGTATGTTGTAGCGTATTCAGATGTTGGCTAATACGAACCAAAAACAGCTGATTATTGACAGCTGATCACTAGCACTCTAATTGCATGTTTCTTATTGGTCAATTTTTTTCTTCTTCACGTCGTTGAACTGTATGATCTATTTTCATGTTATTACGTGTGTAGTGTTCGTAATGATCGTGTAGTTAGTGTTAGTATGTCTGGTTAGTTTGTGAGTGTGATTTAGTAGGCATTTACTTAAAAGTGTTAGTCTCAAGTGACGTATTCTGTGATATTTTTAGGCTGATTTTCCTGTGACGACATGCAACTAGATGATTCACTGCAGTAAGTACGGGTATTTTTAATTACTTAGGTTTATTTAACGAGCTTACTTTTTGCAGAAACAAAAACAAAAGAAGATTATGCAATACTCTGCAATTATTCTAGTTGTTTGGTTGCTGGTAATATCCTAGTTTAGCCTACATTGTTACTAATAAATAATAATTCTAGAATTCGTAAAATAGAGTATTTTATGTCGGAAAATAATGACAGTAATTATTAATAATTATTGAGTGGTTTGTTTGGTAAATTTTCTTTAGCCTGAAGTATTTTAGGCGTATTATTGAAATAATACGCTAAGTTGTATCGAATTGAGACAGAGACATTTAATTTTCGCTGATAATATTCTTTTGTCGAGACCTTCAAAATTAGGTGTCGTCCTAAAGGGATTTACGTCAAAAAATTTGGCCTCCGGCAAAACTTGTAAAAAAAAATAAATAAAAAATAAAAAGATTTATATAGACTAAATCAAGTAGACATATAGAGCTATATAATGTCGTAGGCTACAACATGGCATGTCAAGATAACATGTGAACATGCAACCAGGCGAAAAAAGGCGTTGAAACTATTTCGTGACGAAATACACCCTCAAAGTTCCGACGTAATTTATGAAATTGATCGCGATTGTAATCTTATAAATGGTTAAAGGGGCTGATTTTCTTTCACCACTTTATTTCCATTGCGATGAAAACCTTCGTTTAATAAAGTTGAGTAGTTTCAATACAAAACAAAAAAACATCCAAATGCTAATTCTTCTCACACCCACTTTGAGGTTTGCTTCACTTTGAAAATATCTCGTACACTGACGTTGACTTGTGAGATTTAAAACCTTATTTTTGTATAATAATAGAGGACTATCACTAGTATCTATTTTAATACAAATAGATTGCCATATGTCAAACTAGTTATAATGTTGGTGAGATTACAATAAATAAATACATAAAAAATAAAATCAGAGACATGTCATAAGCTAGTCCATAAGGGTGATAAATGGTCTTATTCTACTGAATTGATAAGGTTTAGTGTCTTGAGTATCCGGGTTTAAACTCCCATTTAAGTATTTGGCCTGAATCATTAAAAAGATTACTTTTTTTACAATATTATTGGACCTGAGTTTTGGTGTTTTTTTTCAACAAAGATGAAATTGCCAATAAATAACAACACGTTGTTTTTGTAGTAAAAAAATATATAATCTTGATAAGTTTGCTTTAACTAAAAACGTTTTCATTTTTTTTACTAAACCAAATGTACAAAAAACTAAAAGTGTAAAAGACAAACCAATAACATAGTTTACAAAAGTGTATTATAATCAGCGTTTCCTAGCTTGGAAAGTATAAATGTCCCAAAGGGTCACTCCAGGGGCGGATCACCAGTTTCGGTCATTAACTCAACTCGGTCAATTAGTAACGGACTATAAATTCGTACACAAAACAGACAAAGTCCCTTTGGTAGTAATTTTAAACTTTAAATAGGTCTACTTGATTATGGATAGTAGACTTGGATATTTTCAAAAACTTCATAGGCTTTTCAATATTTCAAAACATTTATACGATTTTTAAAATTTATATAGATGCTAATTATTGTCTTCTTACATTTACCTGTCCACATAGGCCTCAGATACCTGAGTGCAAAATTGCTATTAAGGGAGTGTTAAAGAATCAAGCCCCGGATTAGTATAAAAAAACCCATGAGGAATCTCCTATTAACCCACAAAATAACAACCCGTGATATTAAAAGAAACAATAATACATAGCATCATAAATTAAGAGAGTAAATCGTGTTTGTAAATAACAATATATTTCATATCTAACGTTTTATTTAATAAATAACAGTTAGCTCTTACTATTTTAAATAAGCTATAATTAAATTAAATAACACTGTACATTTTGTTTCTGGTTAAAGTCTGGGTAAATGTTTGCCTAAAGACTTACTTATGATCAAGTTTATACTTTTATATACAATGTATTAAAAATTTTCAAAAATGTACTTGAAATTCATATTTTTGACCTTGATAAATTGATACCTTACTGCAACGCTTGAAAAACACTTTTACATAAAATAATTACGAAATCGACACATGAAAAATGTGGTTTACAAGGTGTATTTTACTGTATGTTTGTATTATAATATAAAATTGCACACAATTCTTTTAGTTGTGAAAAAAGCTAGTGACCTAAAATGTCCTTTGATTTGCTCATCAATATTCTATGTGAAACATAAAAACAAGGGTTTATCTGACATAGAGCAATAATTAATTAACCGCGTTGACGAATTATAGACAGCACCGGGATACCACGTGATTTGGGTTCACAACCATTTTTATTACTGATCCAGCCACGGACTCGCCAATCATGTTCACTTATTTACCACTATCTTTGTGTACAAAACCACCACGATTATCGAAGTATTCACGCAAATATGAGCAATAGTCTTTTTTACTTTCATTTATTTTTTTCACAATACACTTGCAACGAATAAAATTAATCTTCAACAAATTATTTGGGCTTCCACGAAGGTTATTCTACCAAGAAACCGTGATAGTTTACAAACTATGCATTATCTCATGCTAAATGAACTTATACGTCCTAGATAGTCTGTGCATAACAACCTAGCCTATAAACCACGACAGTTCCTTAGATAAATACGAGTATTGATACATATGTCTTTTGATAAAGTTAGGAGTCAAGACTGTGGCAAAAACCCTCAACAATCAACAAACAAACCGCAAAAGTCAACAAAACCACAAGGAACGTTGTATCTAACAATGAAAGAATTGTCGTGTTTTTGATCTCAAACCATAGACGTTTGGAGAGTCTCGAAACTCAGCAACAGCGGTGTTCGACTGTGCATGACAACCTTCAGCTCGTATTGGATGTCTTCTAGACGAACATTCGTCCTGACCCTGAACCTCCTGAGGACATGGACGGCCACCGTCTTCATCATCTGCATGGCGTACGCCTTGCCTGCAAATGGTTGTTTTGAATATGTATTGTTAGTATAGGTGTGTGACATCACTGATACGTAACTGAAATAGTTGAGGGATCAAAATGTTCGAAGACCTTTTGGATGTAATTAGTTGTCATGAAAATAAACATTTAGTAGTGATGTGTTCTGAAATTGATAGTTGATTAAGAGTTCATTAAATATATCATTAAGTTTTTAAATTAGTATATTTTATTGACACCTTTTATTGACCCTGAGATTTTGTTGCACATTTAGATACTTTATTCTTGGTGAAGAATACTTTAACTCTTTTTGAAATCGCAGAATGGATATTGGATATGGCTCACAACCTTATGACAAACTTGATTCCGTGAAATTATAACTCATGATGAACTTTTAGTCTGAGTAGGGATAACTCATGCGTCTAGAACAATCTATGTCTCCAGTTAAGCAATTCTTGTAAGTTAATATGTCTCATAGACCTGAAAATTATTATTTAGCTTATCTATATCTCGTAAGTCTCATAAACGTTTGGAGAACGTTGTGACCCAAAAATTTGATAAACTCTTAATAAGCCTCAATCTAGAGAACTTATCCCTAAGTTAAATTTGATCTTATATTGAGTTTATTTGACAAAAAACATGATAAACCTTAAGTAAATATAATTAAAATCATGATAATCCTCAAGTATATATGTCCCCAAAACCTGATATACCTTTATTCATAGTAGACGAGTTCTATTGGCCTATTTTATAGCTCGTGAACATATGGCTTGTAAATATAAAGAACCTATTACCTTAGGAACATATAACCCATAACCTTAAAACCCTTACCTATGCAGCTGCGAGGTCCCCCACTGAAGGGCAAGAAAGCGCAGTGGTGTCTCTTGTGGTCAGGATCTCGCTGAAGTTCAGGACAGAATCGCTCAGGGACGAACTTGTGAGGTTCAGGGAAGGTATCAGGGTTCCATCCCATGGCGTGGAGCGTAACCATCACTCTGCTGCCAATCGGCAACGTGCCCTCGGCTAAAACACGTAAATTGCTAAACGTGAAACGGCTACAGAAACGTGCAAAAGTAATGAATAAACGTGAATTCGGCTACAGAAAGAGACAAAATGTAATAAAACTGTTTAGAAATTTTGTTAAGCTGGTTTAGTGGTAGAGTTCAGGGATTTGGTTCCTTAGGTTTCTGGTTTAAATCGCCATCAGAAATGGATTTTGTCTAAGTGATTGTGCTGCAACCCTCTAGGCCTAGCCTAAAGTAATGTGAAAGGACTAGAGCCCACGTCATGTAATGCTGGAAAAAATTAATATTATAATTATGAGATGGGGGCGCCACCTAGGTGCGTATTTTAACCCAAATATGACTAAAGGAAGAGAGTAGAATGTTGTGAGATGATATGAGCTTTGTGACTAACTAAGATCAGCTGTTTCATCAGTCAGCACTAGGGAGCAAGTCTAGTCGTAAACACGGGTTTCGGTCTCCAAGGTTCCGGGTTCAAATCTCGCCAATGATCAATAGCTCTAGCAACCCATGTACCTAACTTCAGCGGTCCCTGTTTTGACCATCATCCTAGGATGTGAAAGAAGTACAACGAAATATATCCATCATATGTTTTGAGTAATTTTTAACTCACACAACTTTATGTCCTTAGTGACCTTCCTCAGGATGCACGGGAACACGCCGTGTATTCTCATAGTCTCCATGAGAGCCTGGCCCAGATAGGTCATCCTGCGAAGGTCATCTTGAGTCACTTCACGGTCAGAATCTCCCAGGACCTCCTGGATCTCAGCGTGGACTTTGTCCTGAAAATGGTCAGGACTTTGGATACTTCAAAATAGTCCCTTGCTTGTTGTAAGATGTACACATGGAAGAGCTGCTGTTTTACATGATACATGCGTCAGGTGATTTCCCTTGGAAAACCTATGACGCATCTGGAAAATATTGTGATGCACTATGCAAACTTGGCTTGAGGCTAATGTAATGGATTGTACAGTGTAATTATTAAATTTATTCCGAGAACCTTCAGGTTTAAATCACAAAAATATTATTTCAATGGCAAAACTTGTTAACAGCATTTTATTTTGATGACACGATCAACCACAGATTTTCATAAAAACTTTATCCTTATGATTAACTTATTATGATTAAATACTCCTTAAGATTAAAATTATGAATTAACCTAAGCTGCTTGTTAAAGCCCGCAATAATCTCTTAATTACACATAATGTAAATTTTCATGTATGTCCAATTTGCTGTTTACCACCCAACGTAACATTTATTTACTTAGTTTAACATCATTTTAATATTAATTCTTTCATAATATTAAAACCAGTATGAGACCAAAAGTTTTCATATCTGTCCTCAACAAGAGAGAAATATCTAGTCGATATTAGCACACTCAAATGTGAGTACTTAACCATAGCATTGTTTGGATACAGTTTCAATCCTCTTTTTACTGATACACTTGCAATGCTAAACTACATAGAGAAAAACGTATCTGTGCTCTGATCAAGATGTTTTACCGTGCTAACGTTAAACTTTTCATACATGCTTGTTGGTTAATAATTTGAATTACCTGTATTTCTGGATGATTGGCTAGGGTGAACAGTAGGAAAGAAATTGCTGCTACCACCGTGTCAGTTGCCTAGATGTGAAAAGAATCATCGTATATTTAAATAGTACAAAAATATTACAGAAGTATAATGTTATTCAATTTTACAATTTATTGTTAATGGTTGAGTTTAAACTCAACCATAAACAATACATTTGTTTTAAACCTTTGAAAATTAAAGTGAATCTTGCTGGATAAAATTATTAAATCATAAGTTTAGCTAGAATATAAAATTTATTGGTTTTAAATCAAAATTGGAAGTTAGTCCAAAATATAGAAAGTGTAGGCCTACGTCAGAAAACACGTCTAGAATAAAAAAGTAGTTGAATATGTAAGAAATATTATAATTAACCACTGCTAACGCTGATATTAAAGAATGCTACAGTATTCAAGCAAACATTCCACAACGAGCTACTTTTTGTCTAAATTGCAAACTGATCTCGTATTTAAAGTTTATTAGATAATTTTTTGTATTCAGATATAATGAAACAGGAAGTGGAATCATCTCTCCTGCTATCTACATTTAACTTGATTTAAACTAAATTAATTTATAAATATTATTTACTTGGCCAATCCAAACATTTGTGAATCAAAACCACACATAAAACGAATGTTTAAATTTAATCGTTGCTGTTACAATTGGTTACCTACCCCAACAATCATAGTTGTAACTTCATCAAACCACTCTCTTTTGCAGCCACCATTGGCGACCTGGACGACAGCGACGTCAACCATATTCTTCGGTGCGTATCCTGAAATAAGGAAATGTTTTATAAAGTTACTTCATATTCCAAGAGTTAGTAAAACTATTTGCTAAAACCCTTAAGTGTGTTAGAGCGTATAAAGTAGAATTTCCTTGATAATTGGCACTACAAATATCCTAAAACAGCTGATCTGAGCCAGTAACAAAGCTAACACAGATAATCTCTCTCCATTGTACACCCACTAAGTATTGTAAACCTCCCCTAACTTCTGTGCGACTATTTTTAATCATTGAATTCCGAAAATATGACGCAACTCATCAAACATTCCAACGGTGAGACTGTGCTACGTGTGTGTTCTACGTGACGTCACATGTGACCTTGACGTGACTCTTGACCTTAACTACGTGACACGTCATAACAATGGGAAAATGAAATAGTCAAACGGTCAACTTATTGGTTGTTTGACTAGGTACTCGTTACACGTTAGTGTGTATTCATCCTCATGTATTACAATGAAGAGGTGATTTCTCATTGAAGTATGTGTGTTTGTTGTCTGTGAACGCAAAAGCTACGGAACCTGATGAAACTTTACTCAGGTCTATTCATCTCATTAAAATTAGGTTAGGCTACGCTTCACGGAAGTGAAGTTTTCAGGTAAAGCTTTTTAATTTCAATAGTGGTTGGTAACGAGAAAATAAAACAAAATTATAGTAATTACAACCACCATAGTTACATTTACAGAACTCATATTTTTTCAACAACAGTTAAAAGAATTATTTAACATTATGACTAGTTTTGATTAGTTACAACAATGATACCTTCTGATTCATTTTCAACTTTCACCACACCATCCTTGGTCCGGTCTTGCACTGCTTCGTCCCAGTGCTGAAACAATTGATGAGAAAATAACTACGAGGACATAGAAGCCTACATAAATAGCACAGCATTTCGTTGAGTAAAATTTACTAAAATTTACGTTGTAAAAAATCTTTGATTATGATGTAAATATTGTAGTAAGATGTATACATTTCTCTACAGAAAATTTGAGCTATTTCCACTTTCTTTGACCACCATAGCGTTTATAGCGTAGAAGTGGATTTGGCAAAACTAACTCGTTGCCCATTCTGGTAACGTTTTCGCAACAAATGTAAGTTATAATTGAAGTTTTTTATTTTCAGTGTTGAGTACAAGCATTTTCACTGAGACACTATGTAGAATACGTTAACTGAATATTTTAGTCACCTAATACAACCAAAATGGACGAACTACAACTACAACAATGTGTTGTGCTCTGAAATGTTCCAACAAAATATTTACCTCGTTGAAAACTCGAACACACGCTGCCAATTTCTCATTTGCCTCTTTCATTTCTCTTCTGTAGAGAACATTGAAGATCCAGTCAATGTGAAGCCAAACTTTGAACAAGCGATAGGTGAACATTCTGCCAACACTGTAACATTTAAAGGCTTAGATTTTCATTGGGTTCATTAACTTTATGCAAGTAAACTAATAAAAGTTATAAAAATAATATTGAGTATACTGTTGCTTTAACGTTATTTTACCGTGAAATTACCACATTTATTTTGCGTGGTTTCAAATACACCAGAAATAAAATTTGGGCTTTGTTTACTATTTTTTTTACCTGAGACACATTTACCTCGTGTTATGCGATTAGTTAGAATACATTTGGATGTATTTTGACAGTAATAACGGTTTATGGAATCCTTATATTCAAGGCATAGCTCAGAGAGGAAACATTCATCTTAACTTTTTTTACATAAGTCATCACTGTATACTCACTTATTTAAAAGATGGAATATATCTTCTTTTGCTTCTTTTGTTAGAGGTTTTCTTGCCACGACGGTGCCTATAAAATAATTGACATTGTTAAGGTGGTAAAGTATTGCTTGTTGTACCCTAATTTGTATAGTGAATATATTATTGGTAACGTATATTTAAAACCCATAAAACGATTTCTAACTACGAAAAAGGTTTATTTAAATATCAAATTTGTACCTTTGGAACTTAATTTATCAAATGTTAAAGTAATGTATCGTTAGAGAAATAAATTAATTTACGTTTGTATTGATTTTGTAAGCACACCTGTAAGCTATTAAAATGTTACTACTACAAACATAGGGTTTAATTCAAATATCTGGCATTTATCCCTTGAGGCTAGTTTACCATGTATAGGTTTAGGTGATTTGTTGACCTAAGTTCCAAAACACTACCTTTTCAAAGTATACTCGCCGATTCACCTATGAGCTCGTAATACTCACTGTGAAGTTTACAACATGACTTGCTTTCATTACAATTCATTCTGCTTTTCTCACGCAAATTCAACTACCCTTGATCTCCATGTTATTACGAAATTAATGGAACTTTTAAAATACATGTTTCCCCCATTTGCCGTATAAATTCACCTCTACCAAATAATGCTAATATTCTTTTATTGTAAATTATTTTTAAAATTTATGTATCCAGTGTGTACAACTTTTAATATTTACAGATTGGCTGACAAAAGAAACTGAGTCTGATTACTGTCTAATCCCACAGCTCTCAATCGATGCCTCAAAGATGTATTTATTTTATAATAGACTAAAAAGTGTATTGTGTTTTTTTGTGTGATACTAAAATCAAGTAACCAATACGACGCCAGTGTAAACTCTTTATCACGCACAGACAGAAGCCTATGTAATAATTTTAGAATTTTTATATTGTACTGCATCATTACTTGTAAAAAATAAAGATTGATTTGATTTGACTTACTCATGACGGCATCTACAGCGGCGTTGAATATCCCCTTCCTAGGGTCAACCTCTCCAGGAGTCTGACCAAGCCGCCGCACCAACTCCTCTCCAACGGCGTTGAACTCTGGCAGAAACCTGTCTACGTTGGACGGGTGGAGGACTGGGTTGAGTAGCCTACGTTGCTTTTTCCACTGGTGGACTGCAATCAAAATGTATAAGTTACTACTATTGATACATTTAATCTAATTGGAAAACATTACCTCGATACCTTTTTTTATGGCCCCTGGAAGCTCAAGGGGTGTTTTGCCTTACAATTCTATTCTCTTGTATCCCCGTGATTCCCAGTCTGGTGATTTTCTCTAATTCCTTAACAATAGTGTCGTGCCTGTGGACCCCAGGTAAATACATACTTTCAAGGCACTCCCATTTTCTAACGGTAAAATAGGTAGAGCGTATTGTGATTAAATTTTGAACGGCCTTAAAGAATACATGTCATTTTGAATTATTTCATAGTGAATGTTCTGTTTTAAAGAACTTCACATGTGATGGGTATATTGAATAAAAATGGATTGACAACCTTTTTGTGTGCTATTTATTTTATATTCACGTCAGTTATACGTTTGAACATAACATAATTTCCAGACACAATATTTTTTAATTCAACAAATCTTATCCTCTAGTAAAAGATTGCAAGTTCAGTATTGGATAAAAACATAAACACTATGATTTGGGTTAAATAATAATAAGGCTTGATTCGTAAACCTATTTTAGTTTAGTTGTACAGTTTTTGAATGACTTTCGGTAGACTGCGTACTAAAAGATATTTCCTCTCTTTTGAAACACATAACGTCAGATTTTGTATATTGGTACTGCTTCTTAAACTGAAGTCTAACTTATTTGATAAGCCACCCTCCGGTTTAGATGGAAAATTGTCAACATAAAAACATTATTTTAAAAAGTACATAGCCATTGGCCACAGATTGTGACTATCTAAAAAAAATGTTTTCAAAGCTCGTTCCGTCATTGTTCTCATTATAAGTCATCTTCTAATGACAAAACTATATTCATTTTTACCAATGAGAAACTGTATTTCTACAAGTTTATAAGTAGAGTTCCATCACTTACCAGGCCCTGTGAGTAATCCATTTCCTAAGTAGGGCTTTAAGAAATCATAAATGTCGTCTTTTTCCAGAGTATTGGAACTGTTCAACACCGTCTGCAACAATCGTAGCATTTGGTCGTAAATTAATCACACACAATATTCTGTAACGAACTTGTGTTTTTTTCTAAATTTATAAAGACAAACTAATATTATGAACTGAACTGTGAGTTATATTTTGACTGAAAATCAAACAAATGTATTTACGTAACAAATGTGTTTATGTGGGAACGACGTTCTCGACTCTGCTGGTTTATTTACCTGGCTATTAAAATATTTACATTATCATCGCAACACATATGTGAAACTACATTTTATTCTCACTGTGTATCGAAATGAATGTTTTCCATCTGAAGGTGCAATAATTACGTTAGATTTGGCCTAAATTATGTTAGTACTATTCATTATTCGCAAGATTTTTACCTGAACATCGTTCGGATCCGTCGCCACAAACACTGGAACTGGACCGACCCAAAGGCAGAAAAGTCCTTTGAACTGAGTGGTGAACTTTACTATGTTGTTTGTTACACCTGAAATAATACACAAAACTCTCTTAATTGAGCATAAAAACGTATTTTGAATAAAATAAACGTTTAAATTCGAGCATTCGACATTTTATGTTCTCTTGTTTTTGGCTATGAAACCCGAGTGAATTGAAAAGTGATCGGTGTCGACAGTTTAGTTATGTTCGTACACTATGTATAAAAATAGGTAGCATGCAGCTATCCTGTCAAAAGTGATTAACTGTAAATATTGATAGAATAAATTGATATTCTTCTAGTTGTGAAACTTTGTGGAGATTTGGCGTTAAAGCGACAGTCTACAAATCGTATGAAAATATTTTAATAAGTTAATGAAGGTTATTAAAAAAATAATTTAAAATGCATATAGCTAAATGGAAATATACATTAGATTTATTTCTATTTGTTTTGCATTACGGTAAAAAATGAGTCAAACATTGTGTAAAAAAATACTTTAATAATAAACCTACCACATTGTAAACTTAGTGTATAAAGCTAATAGCTCAATAGTATTACAATCTTGATCTTATAATGGTCACATTAATCTATAAATACTTAGTAAAAAAGTACAATGATCACAAAATTGGATACCCAATCCAAAGTGAATAAAACTATGATGTTCTATTTTATAATGGGTTTGCAATTTATTTTTCTACTTTATACTATTTCTACTTTTTATCTTTCGACTCGATTGTCCTTTTGGGTTCGGGTTTACGGCAATGTGTTTAACTAACTAAGACCTTTAATTTGATACCAAACTCGACCTATGCTGCTATTTAAGAATTTTGTCTGACTTTTCAATCACACTGTACATAGGCCTACTTACTTGTAATATCGCCAAGGAAGTAGAGCGCGTTGCCTATAAGAGGAAGCGCCGGCGGCGACCGTAGCTTGTTAGCAGCAGATAGTATGTGTCTATGTCGCCATCTGAACTGTAGGTAGAGAACTACCAGCAGCAAAGGCAGCAGACCCAACAGAACTGGCAGCACCAACATGACCGTGCGATACTGGAGGCAGTACAGTAACTGATAAGAAATAAGGACACCAAAGAAGTAAACACTTCAACCTTTCCTTATTGAAAACTTCCTGTAACCATAAATCTAATAAACGGAAGAAATTTGATAAAAAACTGATCACTTTTTGACCAGGATAATGTGAAGGCCAATTTCCTCTCCCGCTAATATCAGTGTTGTTATAATTGGAAATGACTTTCCTCATCGGACTTCTGTGGTTAGTCTAAGGTTAGGTTTGCGGTTCATCTATCCACACTACAATTACTGATCTTGACATTCACATGGTGAATTACAAGCTTGCCATTATGATCACACGTGAACCGTGTTCAAGGAAAATTCAAACACGTGTTAAGTTTTTAGACAAATAAAAATACGTTTAATTAATTTACCTACGACAGTTTTTAATGTAGCCGTTTCGGTTCAGTTCTTAGAATTGAAAAGATGCACTTAACTGCATTGTTGTTTTACTTAACAACACGGGCAATGGACCAATGAGGGTCAAGGATTGAGAGAGAAGAAGTAAAATTGTAATGCTTCGAGCGTCAACTAATCAGCTGTTTAGACAAATTTAATTGTCAATGAGTGGTGTAATTAGTGTTTGGTACAATGTTTCGTTGCATCACAGTCAGTGGCGATGAGAGGTTATAAACGAAAACATAACCTCTCTTAGAAGTTATGAGTAGTGATTGTTAGTAACTAAAACACTGTCGTAGGTAAAGTAGTGTACGAGACTCGCGCAAATAGTGTTAACAACACTCGTAGAAGTTTTTAAGGCCCTCACCAAGGCTCGGACCTTAATTTTTTTCCTGGTGTCGTTAACACTATCTTTACGCAATCGTTGCGTAAACTACTATAACGACACTCGTAAAAGTTTTTAAGGCTCTCGCCAAGGCTCGTACCTTAAATTTTTTCCCGGTGTCGTTAACACTATCTTTACGCAATCGCTGCGTAAACTACTATAACGACACTCGTAGAAGTTTTAAAGCATTCGCCAAGGCTCGTATCTTAAATTTTGTACTCGTTTCGTTAACACTATCTTTATGCGATCGTTGCGTAAACTACTATTAGTTCTTTTTGTCTATGCTATTAGCTAACCTATGTAACTTAACTATTTCCGTCAACAAATGATTTTAAGGAAAGTAAATGTTTTAAGCTCTAATTTACAGCAAGGAGAAACAAATCGGCTGATTTTTCCTTGATCCAAATTTACTTTTCCTTGCTCTCGATCAGTTCTCAATTTGCTCACTATGCGCGCTAGTGTTTGTTTACAATATGGGTCTATTATTTAAATCAACTGTAGTTAATGATATTAGCTGTTGTTACTGTTTAACATTACAAGTGTGAACAAGAATATGCATTAAGTTAGCTATGGTGTTTTTTATTATTTTAGCTTGCAGTTTGTGGTTTAATAAAAAATAATGAACTTTACCTTGAACATCAATGTTTTGCGCTGTTATGTAGGTTTGCTATAGGCAGAATTTTTTGTTTTAATTCTTATAAAAATTGTTAGTTTACGACAAGTTGATAATGAGATGTGAGTTTTAATTTTAAGTCTAAAGTCTAACTCTATATGTGAGTATTTTAAGCGTCTTGATGAAAAGTACCGTTCATAGCTTGTACCGAAAATGGTTTGCCGGCTAGCTCCAATTATTCCAACCATCGGCTTTACCTTGCACGTGAAATTTGCTATTCTTGTGTCAGATTATGTTATATTTGTATTGTAGCTCAAACACGTAAAATGATGACCAAGGAGTTATTTAGACGATTTTTAGACGTGATTAAATGTCTAGACGTTTCAGAATATGTAGATATTTGTGTACTACTCGCAAGATGTTAATTAAGCATTCAAAATCCAATAACCATTGTATCTTACTATCGTTAAGGAATTTTGAATGAAACTCAATTATTAGTGAACGTGAGCATCCACGTACAAGGAAAACACAATTTATTTTTAATTGGGTTGTTAAATAAACGTAATTGAATCGAAACTGTAACAGAGGATGCCAGTATTGATTTTTGTCACATATGCCAATATTTATTAATGATGATGGATTAACAGGAAAACTTAATTGTGAACTTTTGTTAAATTTTTTTTTACCAACTATCATAAACTGGAGGAAAACATACAATTTCGACAGTAGCACAGTCCGTAAATGGATTGTTTAACTATTTGCTATTCCAGTGAAATATTGACTGAAGTTATTAGTCTATTTAGATGGAACCTCTCTCTACTTTCATAGGATTTAGTACAGCAGAGCAAGTAGACAAACCATCCTATTGTTAAATATGAAGCCAATTTCGACGATTGTTTCATCTTGGTGATATTTGAGTGTGTTGATAGGCGTTGATTCATATTGTCTAAAATGTATCTATTGTTTTAGAGTCGATTTGAGGTTTTAGCTTCTAACTTTGGTATGATACAGAAGGAAAAACAATAGATTACTAGTAATTTTAAATTAAGTTAATTAGGTTAAGGTTAAGTAGTTAAGCAGGTGAAAAACTGTTGAATATTAAAAATACAACCTTATGTTTACAACCTCGGATGACTACGTACAATAATTGAATGTTTATTTTTCTTCAGTTCCACTTTCAGTCATGTTACTGTTCATTGAAACCCTTACCTTCGACTATATGCATAATCTTTTCACTACCTATATTTTAACCTTCACGAGAAACAATACAAATGAGAATACAAAACCTAAATGTGAGGCGCGGAAGTGATTTGGGCTACCCTGACACGGAGTCGAGTGTGAACACGGCAATTAGGAAGGCGCGCGACGCACGACAACGCTTGCGAACGCTCGGCACGCACGATGATTTATACGTGTTTTGATTTGCTTCCGTTCCTCGCCGCAGACACAAAGCACAATTTGTTGCTGCCGTCGCAACGGTTCTAAACAGCATTTATGTTGTGCGGGTTGGTTGTAGATGTTAACATGAACATACTCCTTAATCCACCGTCCTTGAGGATTAGGTAAAGGCAAATATTAGTGTCAGACTTATCTAGAGAGCTTCTTTGTTTATTATGTATATTTTTTCACTATAGGTTGTATTTTGTAACTTTTTTATAAGGTAACAGTTCAAACCCTCGTCTTCGTAGTACTTTTAGCGAATTTCCCTATAGGAAAGTAGAGAAACACGAGTAATTATTGTCCGATTTTGATGAAATTTGATTTAAGGGTGGCGCCGGTTTACTATTACGCGCTAACTCCAGTTTATAAAGATAGCATCTCACTTTTTTTCGAAATCTTCTGATCAAAGTTTCCTGGCCATCTGCTGATCTGTCCACGCCTAGACCAGTCTTGCACAATAGATTATATTTTACAAGCGAATGACAAATATCAGTAGCTAATTTTTGGAAAAGCGAAGTCTGATTTCCAGACACCGAAAGTAAGTAAGCATTTCACTGTCCTCTAGGCGTAAATTTAGAAACTCTTTGGTTTAAGGGTTGTTTATAATCAGCTGTTATATTTATTTATTTTCTTTTGTTGATGTTTACGATTTTCATTGTTATTTCGTTGCCAAAGTAGTAACCCTAACCACAGAGAATAGGCGAATTAAAGCATTAAATCTCACTGTTAAATATTTTTAAAATTTCAATTTTATTTTTTACGTAGTTAGATTTTTATTGAAAGTTTTAACTGCATGAAACAACAGAAAAAAAAACTATTTACAAAATTTGAAGGAAATTGTCGAAGCCGTTTTAGAGATCTTTGTGCAAGCAAGCATACATACATAAATACAAGCAAACATTGCTCATATAAGAGTATTAAGTGTTAACATTTTAATAAAACAATTGGTTACAGCTGGCCCATATGGGATGTCTAGTCTACCCTAGTATTCAAATTTCATCCACTATAATAAAAAAAAAACGAAATAAATTACATTGAAATGCGTCTCTAAATCACGCTGTACCTTCTGAGTAGTTTTAGTAAACACTATGTGATATACATACACACGATGTATATTTTTGTATACTAAATATTTTCTTGTATATTTATTCCTTGTATACTTTGTATTTCAGAAGACATAAGTTTTGTCACACATTACCATACGCACCTGTACGCAAGACATGTTAACACGTTGCCTCACTCTTACTTCTCATTGAAGTGTTAACTGGTAGAGTACATTTTCCAAGAATAGCCCAGCCTAAGTCGAGGTGTTGTGGACGAAAAAAATAAGTTTTGAACATCGTACAAGAAGTCTGTAAATTCTATAGAAGAAAGTACTATACTCATCCACTAACAGCAAAGTTAAAGCATAGCATAAGCATTTAGCTCGTTTTGTTTGTGAGTTTATATACATTTTCTTCCATTACTATTCATAATAGTTACAAATAAACTCTTAAATATTCTGACAAATGTTTTCTGTTTAGAAAGGCGAAATATTAGACTAAGTTTCGTATGCATTCTAAAACTAATTTAATAAATAAGATACAAAAGAAAAGAAATATGGGTAATGTATTTAGTTGTCCATTATTTTGTTATACACCAAATTGAACAGGAACTGGCCTACTGGTAAAAGATACGAAATTGAAACTTTACACAAACATTTATGACAACTAGAGAAAGCTACAACAAAACAATGACAAGTTTTAAAATTCATAAAACAAAATGGCGGACATTTTAAATTTTGTTTATAAAAAAATTCAAAACCCGTTGATTTTACATAACTTTACAAGAATAACTTTTTAAGGTAATTTAATTACACATCGATTGACACCTTACTTTTAAATATTGAACGAATATTAACTAAGATATGGTAGCTTTAGTAATACGTGACCTCTGGAGGTTAGTTGTAGTGGATGCCGAGGCATGCGGCTTATAAGTCAGCCACAACAATGCAAAAGTCTCCGTCCGCTTTGCAAGTTGTTTTAAGCGATTTTAGATTTTTCAAACAATAATAAAATATTACATAACCCCAATAGTGTCTTTTTATCAATTATCTACCATTAAGATGGCTTAAAGATTGCACACCTTTTT